CCACAATGTAGTAATTGAGGACCTAAAGCTACCTCTAAAATATAGGCTTTGAGGACCTTAGAGCATCTACAGAGTATATCTTGCACTCCCCTCGTACGTTCATGAAGTATGGGAGTAGATGAAGTGTCGCTTTTCTTCCTTGCACGCTATACCATTCTACTCCAGTGATACTCCACTATACTCCAGTGATACTTCACTTTACTCCAGTCGTACTCCAGTGATACTCCACTTTACTCCAGTCATACTCCAGTGATACTCCACTCTACTCCAGTCGTACTCCAGTGATACTCCACTCTACTCCATCAGCACTCCAAGCGTACTCCACTCTACTCCCGTGATACTTCACTCTACTCCAAGCGTACTCTGCTGTACTCCAAAATTTACTTTGGAGTAGATGGAGTATCGCCTTTTCCCCCTTGATCCGATGGTTCTGTTGCAATATCGAATCTTGTTCAAGGTATTGTTTTACGTGTATTAAATGAACATCGTGGTAATGCACCAACTTGTATAATTGATTTAAAACAATTATTAGAAAAATAATTTTTATATGTGATTAATAACAACTTATGATCGACGTGTTAGTTTATGGAAATCAAATCAACAATTTGATATATGCCAATTAATTGATTGGTTAACATTTTCAGCATCATCATTTGCACCAGATGGAATAACTATACATAATAATAATAATAATAATAATTGGCAATCATATCCACCAAATTTAGCTTGTTTTATTGATCATAATTTATTCATGTATATTGGTTATGGAATAGAAAAATCTATGCAAATAAATAATCTTGATACAAAACAAATTATTCGTACCGTATCATTAAGTCAATGGTGTTCATGTTTTGATATATCAAATATTAACAATGATGAAAATGAAAATCGTTTGATAGTAATTAGTAAAAAAAGATCGTTTAGTACAATTAAAAGATTATACTCAGGAAATATTTCAGGATTTTATTGATAAAATTTCTTTGGAATGTACTCTTAAATTGGATGATTTGTTTTTTCTATGTATTAATGTAGATGATAGTTGTCGTTTATTTGTATGGAATTAATTTGAAAATTAAAAAACAAATTAAAACTTTAACTTTTTGTTATATCTTTAATTTCGAATGAGAAAATTAATTGTTAGACTAAACATTGCAAAATATTATGATTATTGGAATGCCGTTAAAGATATTCTTTTTCTATAAGGACAGGTAACATTCATTGAGACTTGACTCATTTGACTCTAGGCTGATAAGATAGAGATATACATATAGGCGTATCTAGATATTAATGTGCTCTAAGTAAAGTACCGAAATGATTTGGCATATAACAATGACTTGATTTACAAAACCAGCTTTTCCGTAATATAAAACTTGATTTTTATATTTAGAAAGTAAAACTAATTTTCAATATGCTATACTTGTCTAATTGAGTTCAGGTTATACGAATAGTGTTATTGCTTGTCCTACAGAAATTTTGTCAAGTTTTTCAATCGTTGCACTGTTCTAACTATATTCACTGTCGTTTTTTTCATACTTTTCTTAAAAACTTTATTTTCAATTTCAAATGATAATTGAGTACTTTGTATGAAAAATTCTTTTTATAACATATATTCATATATGACGAATTCTGAAATTGTCTTTATGATGTGCGGTCAAAAATAGTATTATATTGATTTTAGAGCTTTTATGCTCAAATTTTCAATATTTTCAATAAAAACTTTGAGAGTCAGAATTTTTCATCACTCGTATTATTCTGTGTCTTCTTCATGTTCAAAATAAAACTTATGTTATATACGTATGTATCAGAGATGTCTGTGGTGGCGCAGGAAATGTTTCAAAATTACTATCGCGGCAGTACCATTTTCTTTTTCAGGAAAATTGTAAAGTTACATAGATTTATATCCGATTTGAGTATCTACAAATCCCAACGGTCAGAATCATGGTGAATCAGATGAATTCAATCTAACTATGCTAATTTGGCACAGTGACGATAGAGATTTTTAAAGAATTTCCTCTAGAACCTTTGCGGCAGCGGCAGATTTCCAGCAGTGATGGAAATATCTGGTGTATATATGTTGAATTATAAACATAAAATAGAAGAGGTGTGGGTGGGCGTGAGACAATAAAAGATTCACGCCAACGTTCAGACCCCACGCTCACATCCACAATATTAACTATTGTATAGGGTGCGGGTGTGGGTATGAAGGTATAGGTATGGATCTGGACGTTAGTTTGGATATGGGTGCTAGTGTGTATGGGTACATCTCCAGAATCCTCTCGCACACCCACACCGACTCCTCATTCGCGCCTACACTCACGCATACACATATACCCATATCCACACTCAAGGGAAAATTAGACTTGTGAGAATGTTGTTTCTCGTAATTCAATCGCAGATTCCATCGTGTGGTAGTACGGACGTTTGTCCTCGTAAACAAAAGCACTGATAAGCACGACAAGATCGTTCGCATATGGAACAAAAAGTTCTTCATCTTTTCATGTACAATGCTTTACTTTTGGCGCCCGTCTTGCTAAACACATATTCACATAAACCGTTTTGCATATGTGGAAAAACATGAGATCTGACTTGTACGACTTAGTAGGTGTTAATCTTGTGAGTTTGATGTTGATTTGAGAAATCTATTCGAGAAGCACAGCCGACTGTTTTCTAGAGAATCTAATTCTCTATCGGATGATTCTCTGTATCAACTGAATTTTTTTGTACAAATATTAATTTTTTCTCTTGTCTGTAATCAAGCTTCTCGTGATCTTTACCTTGACTGTTTTACTGTTGCTATGTGCAGTCCTTTCCAATAGTTACACAATCTCATACTGTCTCATGAAATAGAAACACCGTTTTGTGATTTTGCTTTATTTGTTTAGCGACCTTTTTAAGTGTAAGCACACTGCTGGAAGAAAACGAATCTTCGTGATTAAGGAAATTTTTCTCGGCGTTTACGTTCGTTGCTTTATTGGCAAAAGTAATGTTTCAATTTATTCATCATTTTGTTAGTATAATGACATCACTGCATGTGAAAGATTGTTTGAAGTGTGTGGGATTGTTTATATTATTGACAAAAATTTCACCATCAATCAAATTTATATAAGTGGCCTTGTTTCTCATTGCAGCTCAATGCTAATTATATCGAAGAATTTTTACTTAAGCTTCATAACAGAATTATCTTCTCTGGTAAAATAAACGAACAAAGTACGTATGACCAAAACTGTTTATAGCACAATAGAAGAGATCAGTGTATGGTCTCGACGAGATACTGAATTTCAGGTCGGCATCTCATACCTAAGTAATTAACTATTATTTGCTCTGAAATAGTAATATTCACCATATTAGCTGCCTTTGACTGTAAAATCTAATTCAATGAACTGTATAGTTATCTATAAACGATGGTGATGGAAAGTTGTCAGTTCTTTTTTGTGTGAAAAGTTGGTGTGACTGTGGTTGTGGTCTAGCCTGTGGATGCGTGAGAGTGTTAATCATCTCTCGATCAACATCCACACTGATGCTCACACCCACACCCACACCCTACATAAGCTCGTTGATTTATTTCATCAATTGCAAATATTGGTAGATCATTGTCAGGAGAAAATACAATCTGAGGTGGGAAATATGGTTGCGCACATTCTCCCATATAATAACATGTAAAAAAAGATACGAAGTACCACAAGATTTTCATCATCTAAAACAGAGACTGGACGCAATGGAACACTTTGTTTTGTCATCAAATAGTCTTATCAGTAAAAAACAGAAAGTACTTAACACTTTGATGCTTATTTTAAAAAAGCTGCAAATTTTTCTCAAAAAAAAACCGAAGGATGCCATTCTGTAGTCGGTAATGTAACGCGTAAAATGAGCCTTTTAATGGGAGATCTATCAAAGAATGAAAGATTATTATGGCTATCATAAGGAAGTACTTAGGAGTACGTGCGCCTGATTTCTGATCTAACAATTGTAAAGAATACAAAAATTTGATATTGAAAGTTAAATGCTAAGACATATTGTTTTATTTCTTCATCTGAATATCGAATTAATAAAATATTTGTTTTCAATCAATATCAACCTGTATTTACCGATTCGAAAGTGATACTGGTCTATATATTTTTTTTCGATTTCTGCTGATACGCAAAAAATAAATCTTCATGCAGTCATCAGTTGATACAAAAAAATAGCACTTGTAATAGTTTTTGTTTTTATACTATCTGAAGGGTTTTTAATAGATATATTTCAATATTATTATCAAAAAAACATTAGAAAAAAAGAATCAATTTACAAAAAAATGAATTACTAATACTAGAGTATAAACATAGACTTTTTTGTTAAGAAAGAAAAATTCGTACACTTGTTCTTCATTCAAATCATTTTGTCGATCAATTTGTTTTCGATCAGTTTTTAATGGAAAGAAAACCACTTCATCTCTTAATGCATCTTCAATCATTTTGATCTTCTTTCTTAACATTTCATCAGCAATTATTTCTACAAAAAATATACAAAATCAACTCATAAAAGAAAATTATTTTATTAAATTTATTAAATTTTGATCAATTTTTATGCTAAATATATTTCTCACAAAATCATTCGATTTTAAATTTACGTGACAAGGCATAAATCATTAAAATACATGTGCTCTTTTAAAACAGTTTTTCGACCCTCAGTTCTTCGTCTTAAATATTATTTCAATATAGTGGGATAGATTATGGTTTTGCATAATCAATGCTGTCATCAAAGAGCAAAAAATATCAGAGCTTGTCAAGTAGTTTAACTCCTCTTCTCCACAATATGGTCATCGGAGTAACCAGGCTATTCTATACAAGAAGCAGAACACCCACTAGATATACCTACACCATTGACATATTAGAAAGGCTAATACTCTATTTGCACGGTTATTTTATCACTGACTCTTCTGAAACCGCTGTGGAGGGTAGAGAATTAATTTTCGATTCAAATCTGTTGATCATCCATCAAAATTCAACGATATACTTTTCATTTTTTATCTCGTCCAATCCAATTTGATACTTATCAGAAGTTGTCTTACGACACGCTAATAAGACAGAAGCAGACTCTGTTTGGGAAAGAAACTGAGGAAAATCAATAATCAATGTTGGTATTAGTGGGATACGTCAAAACCAACAATGTCGACCTTATTTACGCGCTGTAAGTTACGCTATGATTATCTAAAAGTAATTATTTAATAGACTAGAATAAAATATCAAATACAAAATAAAAAATTTTTTAAATTAAAAAGTTTAAAGTCTTAGAAGTCATTGTAATGGTTTTTGACGTCGAATTTCATCAATGATATCAAGAAAAAGACTTTCATCATGAATTCCTTTCCACCAATATTCAGCTAAATGACCAGGTAATAAATTATCTTTAGTTCCTCTCATTGATTTAATCAACTTTGTCTTCATCCAACCCCAGTTTGCTTCAATTCTTTGAGTATTCGTTCCATCAATGGGATTTACAAAATTTTGGGAGTGATTAACTAATTTGTGCGTAAAATTGAAGCCACGCTATCTTGAGATATTATTATACGCTTTCCATTCGTCTCACATAATTATAGATCCAGGAGCAACATTTTGCTGAATAATTGGTCTCAAGGTGGCTTCATTTCGTCTTAAGACATGAAACATCCTTAAATCTTTCTTTCCATCTGGACAAATCCAAACAAGTCCAAAAATCCAAGGGCCCACAACAGCATTTCGATAATTTTGTCTTGATGGTGGAACCGTATTCCCTAAAAGCAACCTTCCTCGATTATATTTCCTTCTTTCTTTCATTAGGCTTTCGTCTATTTGAACTATTTCATTTGAACCACCCATTTTCGGCAAATCTGAATCTGTTAAAGCGTTCAGACAAATTTCTCTATAGTAATTTCTCCAATCAACGAACACTTCATTATATTTTCCAATCAAATTACCCATTAGATCTTTTGTTTTTTTCATTGAGAGATCCTTTGCCCAGCAAAACACTATCAAAAGTGCTATTCTTATTTCAATTTTGGTTTGTGGATATCCGCGTTGATCTGGTTGAGAGAAAAACGTGGCTCCTTTTTGTTGTTGTCCTCCGATTTCACCATCATCTTGTATTGAATTCTTCGTTGTCCTCTTCCTTTTGCATCTATTGCAACGAATAATTGAATATTCTTTGTTTCTTCTCCCATCATTATAAGTAGTGGTGTAACATTCACCTGAACAGTTAGTTGTTCCAAGTCTACATTTACCTAAACGAAAGAAATAAATTATCAAAGTCAGATTCGTTATATTTGATAAGTTTAATTTACCAAGTGGTTGTTGTGCGCTTTGTATTGATTGATCATTCAAACGCAAACCACGATTCTGTGCAAACTGAGTTGCCGAAGCTTCACTTGAACAAATTAAACTGATTTCCAAAATATTCGGATCCATTGCACCACAAGATTAAGTCACAGATAAGATTACAGAAAAGATCGAAATTTTAAACATGTCAACACATTACTTTAACAAAGACTACATCTTTCCATTCAACTAATAAAATTCACGTGATTTATGTCGACACTATAGGTGTCGACGTATCTCACTAATACTGTTATAGTATCTAAAATGCAAATGAAAATATTTCCTATCGTTCTGGGGCTGATCCAGCCGTTGTTAAATTTAGAAATGAGTATTACATTGACATTCCACTGATTTACTTCATTAGTCATTTATAACTCCTGAAAAGTGGTATTTCTGAGGATCAAATCCACCCAGCTGCTCATAATTACAATGATTCTGTTTTATATGTAACTAGAGATCCTTCTGATTCTATGAGCATTCTTTATACAGGGTGTCCCAGAAAAATGTATACAGTTTTCTGTTTTTCGATTCCTTTTTTCTACATTGATAGTTAGATCTCATATTTTGAACATTGATACTAGGCAGTAGCAGTCAACTAAGTAACATATCATTAGTATTGGACTATAGTATTTTGTTGAAAAATGAACGAATGCCCTTTGTCTACTCTTGTATGATTGTACCGAGTTCTTCTTATGGCAGTCAGCTCTCCATCTTTTGAACCAAAAATTATGAAATCAATGCGATTTCACTGATTCCTCCATGTCATTTCTCATATGAAGAAGTCGGTAAAATCGCATTGATTTCATAATTTTTGGTTCAAAAGATGGAGAGCTTACTGTAAAAAGAAGAACTCGGTACAATCACACAACAGTAGACAAAATGCATTTGTTCATTTTTCAACAAAATACTATAGTTCAGTACTAATGATATGCTACTTAGTTGACTGTTACTGCCTAGTATTTGGTGTTTTGGTGTATTTTTGAGACTTAATGATCAAAATTTATGGACCAAATTTTTTTAGATTTTTTACGTTTCAATCAAAATTCTGTTCAAAATTTGAGACTATCTACAACAAATCTAAAACCTTTCAAACCATAATATTATTTGAATTTTTGTTCGAAATTATCAATAGCAATGATTACAGTATTTTTCGTGATCAGACAATATGAATAGGCGTAGTGTACAACATATTTTATTTAAAAAAATGAAGCAAACTAAGCAAAAAAGCATATTGGAAGTACAGATTGAAAAACTAACAAAAAAATGGAAAAGCTTATAGAACTAGAGGGTATTCGAGTTTCACTTGAATACGAAATGCGGTGCGAAGCAAGGAATGTTGATAATCAAAAAAAAGATCTCTCATAAGAAAGGTATAATTGGTTTTATGACTTATTATAAAACACTTTTCCCTAAAAGATGTGTACACTTTACTCGAGTTAGGCTTTTATTGTCGTAATAAATTGAAAAATTTATGTTTTGACCAATCAGCTGATCGAAGCATAAAAGAAATTGAAAAATAGACATGGCAAAATTCATTACTTCATGTACAAGACAGCTATAGTGTGTCATCTGTTCTACCTTCGATAATTTTTGAGTTCTTTATTCCATAGCATGATGCTTCTCATTAAAACAATGAAGACAAAAAAAATTGTCACAATCAGAACAGAAGGTTTTTATTTTCTTTGCTCCCACCGTGGTCGCTTCTCTTGATCATTGTTCCCTGCTTTTCTCATAGCAACCAGCACAGTGTCTTCAGACATTGCATGCAGGTCCTTCTATTTCTTCAGGCTTATGATCAGCGAGTTCACGCTTCAAATTACTTGTTAATTGTTGCTTCGGACCAGGTTTCAGCTTCTCGAATGGTGTACCAAGGAGTAAAGATCGTACAAGACTTTCACGAAATCGTAACATGGTTATCTGACTTGTGTCATAATTTTTCTTATAAATCAAATAGGCCTTAACTATTACTGTTCCAAATATCAATTCAAATGTTACCTTTTGATACCATTTGACAGATCATCTGAGGCATGTATAGTATGGTGATGGCTGATCGGATAAATCTATGACTTGTTTTTCTTCATTGTAATCGAGGACAACTTAGGGCTTCATAATGTGTTCATTCAATTTATTGGTTTTCTTGGTATCTAACACAATTGCTGAATGCGATGGCTTTGTGGATATCATCAAAACATCTCTTTTATCTTTCCACTCAATCAATTTTATGCCGTTTTCGCTCTGAAGCCCATAAACTTCACCGCGCTTGAGCTTCTTCTGAACAATTCCATGTTCTGATCCAGCACGATTGCTTCTCAACTTTCCAATCAGATACGTATCATTATGTAACAAACGATTTGCAAGAGAAATACCCCGTAAAGAAGTTGTTGGCTACTACAGTTCGATAGCATCCCACTAGACTGTCCAATAAATCCATTACGACTCTTTGAGCATGTCCAAAACTAGCTATTGGATCCTGCCTACCAGTATAAACCGTAAAATTCTAAGTATATCCATTCGTACTCACTACCTTCTATATCTTCACGTTATATTTATGCGCTTTTTCAGGAATATATTGTTTGAACAAAAGCCTGCCTTTCCATAGTACCCTTGTTTCGTCGATAGAAATAATCGAGCCATGAATGTAAATAGAATTAAATCTGGCTTTCACTAAATCTAAAAGTGTGGTTTCAATTTGAACAATCTGTGTTGATCTGCATGCTCTTCAAACTCTCGACATTGTAAAGAATTTTTGTTCATTTGCTAAGGTCCTGGATTTGTAAATGTTGTTCTGCATATTGATTAGTTTCACAAAGCATGAGACTAATAATTTCGTCAGTGAGGAAATGTCGATAGCAATCAATAAGATAGATTGTATTATCCTCCGAAGTTGATGTCGCTTCTTTGATCATTCTATAATCATCCTGGAATTCAACATCTAAATCTAATTCTATTTCATTCTAGACTTGTGAATCCACACTATCACCACTAACTTCTTCGGAGCTTGAAGATTCAAATTACATTCTAGCAAAATCACCACCCAAAGATCTAACGTCACTCAGTGTGTTTCTACTGATTTCTGTATCGGTCTCTTCAGATGACATGTAAATCAGCTCAAAACTTCAGTTGTTTTGATACACGTGAGAGGAAAGAATAAATAAATAATGCTATGAAAAGACTGCAAAAGAAAAAAATCGAAATTTCATTTCATTATCTCGTTCCTATTGCGTAATTCATGTAAGAAAAAAACCAATGTGAATAATTTTTCAGTCCGACGTGAAAGAGGATCGTTTATGTAGTGATACAAATAACAAAAAGGAAAAACGAATGACTGTACACACTGAAAAGATGAATGAGTGCCTTTATCAAGGGTGCATACACATGAAAATGAATATATTAAAGCTATTTTCTAGGAAATTTGAATCGCCTCGAAAAGGTTAAACATACAATCTTTCCAAAATATTTTTTGTCATATATAAACATCTCTTGAAGAGATATTAATCATGCGCAGAGATTAAGCCGAACATGATGAATATATTGTGATAGAATGTATTAAAATTCCTCCTCGTTTTTATTCGTTAATCTACTTTCTGTGCTATACGACACCAATCATCAAACCATTTTGTTCTCTATTATCTCTTCCTCTCCATTGTTATTCCTCTTCTACATATGATCTCACTAGTCCACAAATTTACAATAATGATACTTTCACTCTCCCCCCTTGTATCTTTCTTCTTGTTATCTTATTCTTATCGTTCTCTATTTACTGTAGTTCTTAATTTCTTTTTATCTTGTATTGTCAACCTCGTTTTATAAGGACAAGTAAAATCAATATAAAAAGAACGGCAAGAGAAAGTTGGGAAGAGTAACCATAAAATAAATGACGTTGTTGGGTTTTTCTCTTTTATTTGTTGTTGATAACTATTTTTTTCAACTGAAACTTGGTTGTAGTTTATTGTTGAGTGTTAACGAAAAAAAAGCCCACATTTGACGTCATACAAAAAAGCTAGAAATAAAACAGTGGGGATCTAATGTATAAATAGCAAAGATGATCTCTGTCAAAACAAGAATCTTTTGTTCAGAATACTCAATCACCGATCGATCAGCAAAAATTATTCTTAAAATGAGTGGACTAAAATCCAAAGAAAATATTTCCAAATCAACAATGGATGTCGCTGCAACAGCAACAGCAACAGCATTATCAAACATCATGTCATCAAGACTGCGCATAGTTCAAAATCATTCACTCATCTAGGTCGATGGCAATATTAACGAAACAAATAAAGATTGTCAGAATACACTTTCGCAATTACGCAGTGTCGTCAACGAAGTGACAATGTGCACCGAATCGGCACAATGTATTAAATACCTCAAGGATATAGATGATAAGAAAGCTTTCGTCATCTGTTCCGGTGCTTTAGGTCAGCATCTGGTGCCACAAATTCATGATACGTCACATTTAGATACTATTTATATCTTCTGTGGTGATGAATCGCGACACAAAGCATGGACAAGAGAATGGTCGAAGATTCAAGGTGTATTCACTTCAATCAAGCCAATATGTGATACATTAAAAAAGATCGTCCGGCAATGTAACCATGTCACAATACCGATGAGCTTCGTTCAGAAAGAGATGAATGCAACAGCAGCAGTGAGTCAACAAAATCTCGACCAATTGAAGTCATCGTTCATTTATCCGGTATTATTCAAAGAAATCCTATTGGATATCAATGATAGCGATGCTCAATCGATGAATGACCTTGTCGTCTATTGCCGTCAACGAAACATTTCAGAATCCCAATTAAAAGACTTTCAAGGTGAATCCCACAAGAAAACACCAGTCTGGTGGTACACTCGTCAAATTTTTCGCTACGACATGTTCAACTGCGCCTTGCAATCACTTGACATGGAAGGCATGATAAAAATGGACTTTTACATCCGCAGCCTCCATCGACAATTAGAAAAACTGTACAAGGAACAATCGGATAAGTATAAGAAACAATTTACCGCTTATCATGATCAGGGACTTTCCCAAGAGGACTTTAAATATACTCGATACGAATGGTGGACTCCTTTCGTTTAACAATTTCTTGTCT